AGTGGCGGGAACCCTTATTACTCCTATAAGACGCAGCTTCTATTTACCATATGAATTATTAATGGGCCCTTCACCTATACTTATTGAGGAAGGATCTTTAGAAGCCTCGGGTAGTTCTCAACTAAAGTAGATCCAGTGTAAACATTCCCGTAAATCAGTTTGTAAAGACATAAAAAAACATATGTAGGTTTAGTTATGGCTCACTGCCTTATTAAGAGTCCTTTTATAATTTCGTGTCTTTGATAAATAATATTAATTAAGGAAACACGTGACGAACGTTAAAAAAAGCCGAATTAGAACACAGAAAGACTTTAATGAGAAGAGCAGCATCGAGTGAAACCTGACATAACTTAAGCTCATCCACCCTGACGATCATATTTTATTCTTTGATTAAGTTAGTTATGTAAGTTTAGTTTATTGGGTTATTTTAATTCATATAATATTTCCTAGACGTTTTAATGCCGTATTTTTCGACTTGTTTACATACGGTATCGCGACGCTATCCGAGTATAGAAATTTAGATCATACTAATAAGTACAAATCGTTTTTATAATATCCCCAACCCGAGTCTGCAATAAGAACTAACGTTTAGTATTAATATGTAAACAGTATTATAAAAAAAAGAAACATTTCCTAGTAAGCCAGCCAACCTGAACTAAACTCTGATAAGAAATACGTCCAGGAGAGTTTACATTGGTGGAACAAAAAAGTAAAGAGAAATACAAAGAAAGTTGATTGGCCCCAGAAACACAATAATCAGCCAATAGACTTAGAAACATACTCAAACAACCTGTAAAAGCCATACTGATACACGGCAAGAGACGGAGGAAGTGATAGTAAAAGAGTGAGAAGGAGGATGAAGAGGAGAGAGAGAGAGAGAGAGAGAGACGATGTGATGGTGTTACTCTCTTGTAAAGAGCCATCGAGGCTGGGAAAGTGGAGGAGAGGGAGGGTGGGGTAGAGAGGTAGGGAGGGAGGGAGGGAAAGAGAGTGATGCGATGTGAAGTAGCTATTCCCCAATATGGAGCCAGCGAGATGGGGAGGGAGAGAAAGGGAGGGAAGGAGGATGAGAAGAAAGAAAGGAAGGAAGGAAGGGAGGAAGGAAGGGAAAGAGATTGCGGCGTGGAGCAACTACTCTCCAGGATGAAGCGAGTGGAAATATACTGTGGGTGGTATTTCAGCAGTCACAGTCTCCCGTAAGGAAAAAACAAATCTAAAAAAGTGAAGAAAATAAGTAAATAGCGTGGTGAGCCGGAGCCATCATCGACCACCGCCGCATTGCCTCGGTGCACTCCCCTGCAATGTATGGCTCACCCCGGTAGCGGCCAGCCACCTTGGGTCGGTGTTACGGAGCCCTCAGTCTTTGCCACCCGCACGGCTGTTGCTGTCCTTATTCCTGTTGCTGCTACTGTTATTACTACTACTACTGTTGCTCCAATTGATGTTACTGTTACTGTTGTCCCTATTACGGTTTCTGTTGTCCATTACTGATACTAATACTGTTGTCCCTGGTTCTGTTGTTACTACAGTACTGTTGTTCCTATTACTGTTATACTAGTACTGTTGTCCCTAGTTTTGTTGCCACTATTATTGTTACTACTGCTATTACTGCTACTTGCCACCGCTCATCTGTCTGGATATCTGCTGCTGGTGTCAAACTTACATTTTTGGACACATCTCAAAGTGAGTATGTTCAATGTCGTCGGACAGGGAATTATAAATCTGAACAAACGAGAAGAAACATTCTACAAGATCTCCAACAGTTTTCATCCATATTACACCTCAGATCATGTCGTCAGGTATAGAAATGAACGAATTTAACACAGCTCAGTATAAAAGATCATTTCCTCCACTGAATATCATTACTGAAAATCTTGTTAAGTATAAGAAAGCGTGTAACATATTTCTGATTGATTAATAATGTGATTTGCTGATTTTGTTCAGAAGTCCTGTCCTTATCTAAGGTTAATGACATTTTACGAGGGCTCAAAGCCAAGGTTGTAATGTACAGTACCAAGTAAACAACTGGCTGACACAAGACTATTATAGACCTCATCCAACACCTTGGCAATACATTGATAACTGTGTTTGTTTTTTCAATAGCTTACATTTTTCTAATTAGATTTCTGAAAGTAGATAAGTTTTTCATACTTTTTGGGAGCAAGAAAATATGAATTTAATTTCTGACTTGGAATCTGTTGAGTAAAAAACTAAACTAAGTTGTAGTGTTCATGAATTATTCTTTTATGTAATAAGTCATCAGATAGGACTCACTCTGGGGTCATCACTCTCAACAATGCCTTTACTAATTTGGGTCAGAATTACCCCACACAGTCATTAGTGTCTGTGTGATGCTCTGTACTGTGATTCTTGCTAAGGAGGGGAGGCGGGTGTTTACATATCTCCATGTTGATATCTCTAGTTATATTTACCATTATATTTACAATTACTTCTTTACCAAACTTGATTTTCACCTTGAGGTTTTGCAATGATTTTTGCTCTCTATTATTATTTTTTTTTCAATGCGAAAATTATATCCACATTTAAGCTTATGTTACTTCGAATTTATTCCATACATTTTATTTCCCCAACCACTTTACTTGCACCATCGAGTTTGTTCTCTTCAATCAAGTTTTTTTTCCTCTCCGCCAAGTTTCTCGTCATAACTCCCTCGTCTACTCATAACCTGATTCACTGACATTTCCTTAAAGAGTAAACACAGTTATACGCATTATGTCGTAAGAGGAAACAGACATGACTCAAAGGCGGCTTCATAATTTGCCGGATATTGCTACTGGCTCTCAGCTCCCGTGATGCATAATGTGCAGTGTGAACGCCGCGTGTAATCCTCTCCAGGCAGCCCGTTTCTCCCCGCCTCATTGACATGCAAATTGCACCATCCTGTTGATAATAGTAGGGAGCGAGCGTGACGCCAGCCAGTGTTTGCCGGGATACATCACTCACACATACACAAAGGGCAATATTTTCACACCTCTTCCTCCTCCTCCTCCTCCTTCAGCATAGACAGTACACGGCAACATTTACACGGTCATATACAGTATCTTACAACACAAGTCATACACAGAGTAACATATCTACTATCAGTCATTCACATATAAATTGCCATCATAAGACAGGTGAACTAAATGCATTATGGCTAAATGTGTATATGTGTGAAGGAACTTGCCATATATATTCTGCACGTGATATATATATATATATATATATATATATATATATATATATATATATATATATATATATATATATATATATAATATATATATATATATATATATATATATATATATATATATATAATTATAGCCTATACACTTTATACACAGTACCGAACTCGAAGATAAATTCAATACTTTCAATCACACAGGAGTGAAAATATTCATCACGCACTGACAAATCCATTATATATGGTCCAGTTCACCAACGCGAATTAGCATATTTTACATTTTGGAGAGGAAAAAAAAAGCCCAGTTACACATCAACCTACATTTGGCAGGAAGTGTGACGATCAAAACACATACATCGTGAACCTCGCCAAAACGACTACATAAACATATGAAGTGGGAGAGATAAGTGAGGTGAGAGATCCAGACAGTGAGACTTGAGGGAAAAAGTTTTAGAGTAGTTGGTTGAGAATACTAACTTAACTCTGCATGTTACTATCACTACTAATACCACTACCACCATCACTATTACTACTACTACCACTAGCACCATGAATACCACAGTCACCTCTACTACTGCCACCACTACCATCAATACCACAACCACTTCAAGCCACCACCACCACCTCCTCCATAACCACCACCACATGGCTTTCAACATAATAGACCTAACCTAACCAATCTCTTAAGCTTTTAACACAGTTCTTCTTAGGGGACGGACAGACAAGCAAAAAGTTCATGGGATCAGAGGAAAAAGTAGTTGGTTAGGTAGAAGTTTGGTTAAAAAACACTAAACAATGAGTAGTTTGGGATGAGACAGCTACCCGGGAGAAGGTAGCTAGTGGCGTACATGTACTACAGGGGTCGCGTTGGGTCTTCTACCATTTATAATAATATAGAAATAACCTTGACTTTACTGAGATTTTGCTGCAAAGTTAAACAATCTGAAGATATACAGAAAAGAGGGTCGAATAAGCTTGATGGGGAGTTGGATTAGATTAGGTTAGTCCTCAAAACAAAAGGTGGGTTTCTACAGTGGCACAGGAAAATTATTCTACACAAATTGCGTTGAAGAAGATTAGAATAAGCAGCCGAGTTCTGTAGATAACAGCACTTCCTTAATTAATTAAAACTAAGAGAGGCAAATTCTGTAGGACAAATTTGTAGAAAGGGGTTAATTATTTTTCAGTGTAGCAGCATCAGTGTTTGGCTTAAACATATATTTTTGTAGTGTTTTGTTATGTTTACAAATATGTCGTACTTCTACCACTGATGTTTTTATGTGAGGCAAATAGATTCATTTGGGTTTCATAAGTCATTTATATTCATGATTCGTGATGGTTCTTTGCTTCCCTGACAACTAACACAGACTTAAGTTGAAATTATTCTTGTAATGCGCAAGAAACAGCCTTCATGTTTTCTCTCAGCGTTGATTTACCTATTGCTACTAATGTGTTAATAATTTGAGTTCATGTAGGTGATGTGACGAGGATTTAAATCAGTAAAGGTACAAATGTGGGTGACACCGTTAGAATCTTAAACACACTAAATTACCAAGGACGCCTGGTAACATCCCGAGAGTGAAGACAAAAACTAACAGTATATAATTAATACAAGTACATAATAAGCGAAGACAATACGGTGATAAAACTTAATAACAGTTACATCAGGTAAATGATTTTATATTCAGGAAGACTGTAAAGGTTAAACTTACATCACCTGTACACACATTCGGCGATATGTCAACTTCCTACTCCACAGCGTCAAGGTGTTTGTGTGTGTGTGTGCGTGCTGGGTGAGTGAGAACCGAGGGAGGGTGCAGGAGGACCAGACACCGTTGGACTGTAGTGTTGTCTGGGTGATCGTCCCCTTCTCACACCCACTGTACTGACGTTCCCATATATCGTCAGCCAGATTATATGATTGGATTACTTCAAGTGCTGTCGCTTCTCCCAGTACAATGAACATGGATGACGAGCCGTGTAAGTAACTGTGATCACCAATTTCTGAAATGTGGATAGAAGTTTGTCATTTAATTTTGCCATGTGTGTGAAATTCATTAACTTAAGTTACAGGTGAGTTAGTGTATGCCAGTTAAGGCGAATTATGCGATCTTGACTGAAATAGTTTCCAACACTGGCTACACGAATTACTCTCTCTCTCTCGTTACTCCTTAAAGTAAATATTAAGGTTCACTACAAAAAACAACCACCATAGACTTTTAAAACAATAACAAACTGTACACTTACATTAAGTGTTTGTGGCATCCGCAGGCTCGACATGACCAATGCTCTGTCACAAGAATTCGAAATTAGTTGCACGCGTCACTCAGCGGTCAGTTGGGAGAGAAAAGTTAAAATTGTTTTGCTGGGACGTGCGTGACCGCCCTCCTTCCTCCTCCGCCATAACGCCGCTAAGTTGTGGTGAAACTAACAGGGACTGTATAATAATGTGGTGTATTTAACCCTATATAGGTACGTGCTGAAGAGAGGGAGATTATTAATAAGTTAGTATCAGAATATTACGTAAGAAATGCAAGAAGTTATTACCAGTTGCGTTACAGCCACGAGTCAAATATCTGAACTCCACAAAGAAGTGTTCTATAACAGATGCATTTGAGGATGTTAGTTTATCTTTGTACGCGTGTCGAAATTTTCCCAAGGACGACGTACAATGAAACTCCCGAAAAAAACAATTAAAAATGGCAGAAATTCGCCTTCGTGTGGTAAATTACAACAGAATACACACGGATGAAGACGCGGGTGAAAGCGACAAAAACAATATGGGAAAACTTGTGAATCACCCTGAAGCTGTCTCGGTCATTCTCTAGACTACAGTACATAATATTCTTCACACTCTTTATTTCCTACGTGTACTAGAAAATTTAAAGGCAGGTTAAATATATTTCTAAGCTCAGGAGATAAATTTTTTGGCATTTTTAGATACATTCATATTCCTATCTAGGTTAAGGCACCACTTTTATGATCATAAATATGTTAAAACAGTTGACGGTTAGTTATGATCGAAGCTCCCGTGTGAGACTTGCTTCACCTGTAACGTTTATGAATAATTGTTTGAATTTGAATTAATCTTGGAGATGAACGTGTTGAAGGTTTTTATATAGAGACACAAGCGCGACGAGCAAACCAACAATAATTTATAAATTTGACATCTTAACCTAACCTAAAAGTGTATGAGTGGTTTATTGAATCATACTGCTGCATCTATAATACATCCAATTTCTTATTAACAATTGAAGGATACTTCAATAAACTCAACTTCTAAAATAATCGTAAATCTCCCAAATCTGATGTCCAGTTTCTCCTGTATATGACCAAAACCTTTGACAACAACACTGACGGCGGTAAATATAAACATCAAAACAATTTATCCTTATGGCAAAAAGAGTACAATACACTTCACACTCAACACGGAAAAACATCTCGCTAATTCTCCCAGAGATTAATGAAACCTCCATCCTGTGAAAGCCTTGGTAAATGTCCATTGACGAGGATAAATCAATAGTATAGGACAAAAACAACTCTCCTTATCCAGACCTTCCGTTTATATCCAAACCCTTGACACTTACTTATTTACCACCCAGACGAATTTCATGACTATCGACAAGGCTCATTCACACTTTACAGACAGACGTACAGCTTAAGGTAAAGGGAATTATAATGAAAGAAGTTGGGGTGATAGAGAGATAGGGTGAGGTGATAGAGATAGAGTGAGGTGATAGAGATAGATACTGGGGGTGATAGAGAGATAGACTGAGGGTGATAGAGATATAGACTGAGGGTGATAGAGAGATAGAGATAGATACTGGGGGTGATAGAGAGATAGGGTGAGGTGATAGAGAGAGAGTGAGGTGATAGACTGAGGGGTGATAGAGAGATAGAGTGAGGTGATAGATAGATATTGGGGTGATAGAGAAATAGAGATAGGTACTGGGGTGATAGAGAGATAGAGTTACAGCTATCAGTGTTAATATATATTATTTTTATTTGCTGTTAATGTCCACAGCGGCATCATCAATTTGGATTTATTTCATACTATGTATGTATGTATGTATGTACTGTATGTATGTATGTATGTATGTATGTATGTGTGTGTGAGTATCAATAACGGAAAAAAGAAGAGAAAGACCCAAGAAAAAGAAGAAGAAGAAGAAACAACAAGAGGAGTGTTCTGCCTTCCAGTTGTCTTCAGCTTTCCTTGAAGATTATCCCCGGAGAATTCTTGTGTTTGTGTGTTTGTCTGCGATCAATCAGAGGTGGAGGTTACTGGGTCAAAGGTCATTAGGTAGATTAAAAGATTGCATATCTATTTTTATCTACCGACTTCTCCGGCGAGACTCGTATACTTAAGAGACATCCTGTTTCAGAACGGTCCACCAAAGGTCAAAGCTGTAAACTCCAAAGGTCATTCAATCAGCATTAAACTATCGTCATATTTACACCATCGATTAAAGTTTTGTCAAGCATTTTCCAAGGGCAGTTTACTGAGACAGACACACACAGACACGCCTACTGACACACACCCACTTACACACACACACACACTGTACATATAAAGATAATAATATATTGGTTGCCTCTCGTGTAACGAGGATGGCCGGCCCTAGGGCCTCCAAGGCGGCGTGAATTTGTTTACGGTGTAGTGCTGTCGCCAACACAACAACCACACCCTGAGTAACGAGTTGAGTGACCCAGTGCCAACGAATAGTCCGAGGAGACCGGACAGCTAGCCAACTGCACTGGTTAACCATTACTCCGGAACATCCAGGTCTCCATTTACTGCAGGGTAGACATAGGCAACTGGCGTAAAGAAACTTGCCCACAGTTTCACCCTGGCCGAGGATCGAACACGAATCCGTTAGTTTGCGAGGCGAGCCTGCTAACCATTACACCACAGGTCGCAAGATACATATATACAGAAAGAGACACACACATTACATATATACACAGACAGACAGACAGACAGACACACCAAAGAGAACAAATAATGGACCATGTCTCAGAACAACACCACCATTCCTCCCGGGTCACACGGGTTGGTCACCAGGGAGAGAGCGGCCCGGCCTGATAAAATGAGGCCGGATGGCGTTCTCCTCTTATCCTCACGACACAGACAAGTCCATCCCTTTTTTCCCTTTGTTTTCGTGTTGACAGGAAGTTTTTATACTTTGGTGTTGCATTACTTTTTTCTTGGCATTTTAAATTCATTGGTGGTTTACATCTTTCTTTATTCAGAGTGATCGAATGAGATTTACTGGAGCTATGTTGAAAATATATCAGCTGCTACCACTGACAATATAGTTTATAGAAAAAAAAGTTAATATATTATACCTTTAAGACAATGAAATATTCTATGCATTAATAATCATGATAAAATACATTACTGAATATTAAAAAAAAATAAGGGTGATATATAATGTATTGTACACTAGAGTGATAAAGTAGGGTGTGACTTCTAGTGTGACCTGACATAGTGAGGGCATGTGTTGACCCCCTTTGTACCCCCCCCCCCTTTCCCTCACTGGACACTATCAACACCCGGTGGCCAAGACCTATATGCAGGAGAAAACTGTCACAACAACACAAGGATAAACACCTCTAACCCCCTCGTTAAGCTGGAGTATATACTGTACACCCTATGCGTTGGAGGGACACACAAACACACCCAGCCACGGTTCTCCAAGGACTGTGACACTGAGAGAGAGAGAGATAATGTGTAAAGGCTACAAGGATGTTGATATCAGGGTAAGGTATGCCTCTGTTCCTGACTTGTATAAAAGACTATGAAGCTTAAAATAATTCTCTAACTTCCTATGGCGTTTCATTAATTCCGAAAGAGACAACAGTGTAAAAACCCTCGTGTTCTATATTTTACTTCTCGTGAAATGTAAGACAGACGGAGTTACAGAAAGAGTATTTTCTGTGATGCTTTATGTCAATTTGCCTTGAAAAATGACATGACTGAGAGAGACAGGATTGATGCAGGAAGACGAGGGCGTGTTATGGGAGAGGGAAAAAGCCTTGAAATATCTTTAAAGTAATGATAAGACAGGTAGGTAACATTGCAGATTATAACACATTAAATCATAGCCTTACATGGGGATACTGTGGCCGATACTACACTCGATCGTCTTCAGTTCCTCATCGGTAAAGTAAGGTGTCCGTTCGTAAGTAAGTAGATTGAAAGTGTACCAGGCCCGAACTAGTGACCCTTAGGAAAGGAAACTGTGTCCAAATCAGATGGTGTCCTAACAAGCAGGGAGGAATTTAGGACACTCGCTCTCCACCTATAATTGATTGGAAGGTCACTCTTAAATTAATAGAAATATCTACCTAACATACATAACTTGTTCTAATTAACCTAATCCAACCAAACAACGAATATAATGCAACATAACCAAATATTAACCAATACGTAACTTACCTAACCTAGCATAAGCAAACCTAACGTAACCTAACTAGAGTAAAACCTTCATAACCTCATCTTACCTACAAACCAAACCTACCTAACCTAACCAAAAGTAACCTAACCCAACCCACCCAACCCACCCAACCCAACCCAACCCAACCTAACCTAACCTAACCTAACCTAATATTTCCTAAAGTAAACAAAGCCAAGAGGTCATACATATTTTCCAGCTCGTGAAATTGTCACACAGAACAACAATACAAGAGACCCTACACAGGTCATCACTCTCCTTCCTCCTTCAAGGTCATTATATAGTGCGCTGGGATGTTTGGTAAAACTGGTGTTCTTCTGGGTGTTTATAAAGTCCCTTGATGTTTGTGTTTACAGTGTGTGTGTGTGTGTGTGTGTGTGTTAAATAAGTTACATGTACAAAACAACTGTATATACTTCATAAGTTTTTTGGGGGACATAATTAATGGAATTTAGACTCACAGCGAGGATGTTATTATTATTAGAAATGATAACTAACATACAGTAAGGGGGAGTGGGGAGGGGTGGAAACACAAAACATCAAGGGACTTTATAAACACCCAGTAGGCTAGGATGACTCGTTGCAGTGACATTAGACGAAAAAATTCGTCCATGTTTACACAAGTGATGGACAAAAGGCCATGAAGGTTAGTTATAGGACAGAGTTTTATTTCTGCAATGTTATAGATGTTCGAGATATCCTTCAACTATACATTATCTCTACCATGAAGGTTAGTTATAGGACAGAGTTTTATTTCTGCAATGTTATAGATGTTCGAGATATCCTTCAACTATACATTATCTCTACGTTTAAATCTGTAATTATCTGTAAATTATTAAGGAAATGTAAAAAAAAAAGTAAACACGCCAGATAATCCAAACAGGAACTAATTTAAGAACTTCTGCGACCCGGGTGTATAAGCGGGAGGTGGACCAGCCCCACCCCAACCAAAACAACTTTTTTTTTCTCTGTGCACTTAACAAGAGGAACGCGCGACCTTCACCACGGAGTTGCTCATTAACTAATATTTCCGACACGTTAATAGAAGTTTATTTGAAAACGGAAAACTCTATTTTTTTCTTAGTCTATGTGAGGAGGAAAGCTGGCAGAGAGGATGGCAACAATATGATTTTTTTTCTTCTTTCGTTTAACTAAAAGTATTGAACATTATTACTGTTCTGTCAGAAAACGGGTAAGGAACTTGTTTTTGTCCTATGTGGGGGTTGGGGGGGGGAGACAGGTGTAAGACAGTCATGTACGAGTTGCTAGTTAGTCGAGTGATATGAATATTTAATAGTGTCATTAGGTAGTCTTAATAATTATTCTTACTTCATATCCTCTTAAGACTATGAACTGTTTTCGATCTATCAACAACTCAAGGCGGAAGAACCATAAAGTAGAGAGGAGAATCACTGTACGACGACCTGTACATAGTGGTGGTGGTGAGGTGAGGTGAGAATGGTGTTCACGACGGCAGGTTACAGTAGTGTGATCACTTTCACTGTGGCACCCACCAGGTCGCTCCTCCTCTAGCGCCACGAACACGCGACACGCTGACGGGAACACTTGTGTCGCATCTCTGAGGGAGTGAGTAGATTAGGTGTGTACATCAGTTACCGGGTCAACCCACCCTGGTGTGCCTCGTTTTTTTTAAAGTTATGTTGAGAATATAGTAGGTAAAAGAAGTGTCAGGTGCACGACACTGCCAAGTATTACCCAACTATCTATCAGTAGCATTCGTTCGTATATCAAGTCTTTATTCTATTACGAAATAAATTAAATGGAGTCGCTGCACCAAGTCTTACAATATATATTATCATAACCAAAGAAAACTATCCTTCTCTGTACAGTGCAACATGATTGATGATATTTAAGTTTTTTTTCAACTAACGAAGAGACTGGCACAACAGTACTACAGAACAATTCCTATCACCTACAAAGTGTGTGTTTAATATAAAACACTGGACGAAATAAACAATATTATTAAACATTTTAAACCACCCAAGCGCCTCGCATCGTCAGGTAATAATATGTTTCTATACATTACACCTGGGAAATCGTGATTAGACACTGGCCACTGTAAGACCGTGTAAAATATGCGAGTGGGGGGGTGTGTGTAGGTGGATGAGTGGGTGGGAGGGAGGGTGTCGGTGACGCCTCCAGCTGACTCGGGTGACCTTCACACAACAGAGGGATCCGCTGCACCTTCTGCAGAGATCACCTTGCACAGGATGCACGGGTGCCCGGTAAATTGGCATTTTACCTCCCTGGGGCAAATTGGAACCTGAATCACGTGCGGAGAGAAAAATACTCAGAGCGACAGAATGGGGGAGAAAAAATCGTCAAACATAGACCAGAATTAACTAATGATTCAACTCGTACCTAATGTTACATAGAAGTCTTGCCACGTTGTCTCTCGCGATGACCGAGCAATTGGGCTCTTCACGTTGGTAGGTTAGGTTAGGTTAGGTATCTCGAGAATAAGTAAATTCTCGGCCATTGTGAGAGACAACGTGTGAAGACGTCCTTAGCTCAATCTAGCACTAACACCCTCAAATGGTTAACATACTGTACATGAGTTGTGAGGCGCCAACACCTGTAACTCTGCTTCACTCTGCAGGGATTTAGTAACGTTAACTCTTACGTAGAAGAAACACATAAAACAATATGTTGTTTTCTGAAAAGTTTTATGGATATTCTTGTGATTAAGGCAACTGACGTGTTTGTAAAAAAAAGATAGGAACATTTTATTTAATTTTTTAGTGTTATATGATAATGAAAATCAGTTTATTCGTGGACAAATAAGCTGATTTTAAGACGCTGTTAAGTGTATACATAACCTTAAGCTGGATGAAAAATGAAACAGCAATAACAAGGTTTTATTATACATAAATACACGAGATGACATAAAAAGGCAAAAGAGACTATAGAAACCTTAATGCCTTTTATATATTCAATAAGGGTTAAACAATATCATCACTTTTATTGAGTAGAATAAAAAAAAAAAACTGTACTTGAATCCCTATAAGGTCGTTTGGTCTGATACGCTTTCGTTTATATACAGAAGCAACACACATGATTCGACATCTATCCGTGGCAGTGAGATGAATCCTTACAGAGTTTATATATTTTCTCACACAACATAATAAATACGGGAATCTTGTTTTGAATTATTATGTCATATTTTATTCTGTAATAGTGATTTGATTTTTTTTACTTTAAGTTATAGATTACTTAATATCTTAATGTCAAGAGTTCACACATTACTACTGATCCTTTATAAGAACTGTTCCTATTGTAATAATTATGTATTAATGTATCGATCGTTATCTTATTTTCCCTTACGCTATCAGTCTTATCTTTCCCTTAGGTTATCAATCATTATTTTATATTTCCCTTAGGTTATCAATCATTATTTATTTTCGTGGGTCCTGACGTCACTCGACTCTTTGCTGACTTCATTATACTCGACACAGGGATGGCCGAGTCGGTGACGTGTGAGCTGTGTTCGGAGATCTACGAAACTGACCCACGTGACCCTATCCTCCTACCCTGCGGTCACACCTTCTGCCGCAGCTGTATCACCAAAGTCAAGGAAGCCGATGAAACAGCCTGTCCCTCATGCAGCCTAGATTTTAACGACATTGATGTTGAGGATTTACCTGTTAACTTTCAAATTCTAAGTTTATCAGTAACTTATACGAAATCTCAGGTAAGTTTAGGTTTAGTTAGGTTAGGTTAGGGTTAGGTTAATTTTCAAGATATTTTTTTTTCAATTACGCTGCAGAATATGACAAGTTAATTTTTAAATCCTGGGTTTATCAGTGACTCAAAAGATATTGTTTGTTCCCTTGATAATATATGACTCAAGAATACGGTTATGACTCAAGGATAGTATGACTCAAGAATACGGTTATGACTCAAGGATACAGTTATGACTCAAAGATACAGTTATGACTCAAAGATACAGTTATGACTCAAAGATACAGTTATGACTCAAAGATACAGTTATGACTTAAAGATACAGTTATGACTCAAGAATACGGTTATGACTCAAGGATGCAGTTATGACTAAAAGATACAGTTATGACTCAAAGATACAGTTATGACTTAAAGATACAGTTATGACTCAAAGATACAATTATGACTTAAAGATACAGTTATGACTCAAGAATACAGTTATGACTCAAGGATACAGTCACGAGAGCACTTGCCAGTCTATTGTTAGCCTGTTAAGACAATACACACGAGAACTAACCTTACCTAACCTAACCATAAGACAAGGGCCCGTCTGTATAAACCTCAGTCTTAATTGGCTCAAGTCACAAGAGGCGTTTGTCCTAATGATTAGATTAATTTGGGGGGTAAGGTAAGGTAAGGTAAGGTAAGGTAAGGTAAGGTAGGTAAGGTAAGGTAAGGTAAGGTAAGGTAAAGTTACATTGTATAAAGCTTGGGCTAGGTTAGGTTAGGTTATATAAAGCTTGGGTCTTTATTTTTATCTTTTTACCCATTTTGAATGACAGGCGATATGAATTATTTTATAGCCAAAGGTTTTGTGAAACTACTACATAGTTCTCATGGTTCAGTGTCCCGTGTGAGTCATAGATGTTGACTGAAATATCCTGTTGATGATTTTTATTCTTTTTAGAGCATAAGTTTGAAATATTGTATATGTAAACTTAAATTATTTAGCACATGTAGTGATGAGATAGCTGGTGCCTAAACCCTTATTTGCTAACTGGAAATTTAAAATCTTGATAAAAGTGGATAAATTAACAATGTAGTTTTGTGTGTGTGTGTAAAGGTTCGTTTATTATCATAATCTCAGGTGTTCACTAAACCATTTACTTTCCTTCACATGTTCTAATACTCTCTGACCTCACCTCTTTCAAACAATAAAGTTGGTCGGAAACACTCGTATCAGATAAAGATAAATGTTTTCTTTTAACTCGTCTGAAATATTTTGAAAACAACGTATGGTTTCTCTGTCAACAGCAGGACAGGTGTGTTACCCACGGCGATGAGCTCAAGTACTGGTGCAGGGACTGTGAGGCCTCCCTGTGTAGTCTTTGTCTCTACACCGACCACCCTCAAGGCCACCATGTGCTCCTGGCCAAGACCTTCCTCGAGAAGAAGAAACTGTCACTCAAGGAAGAAACTTTATCTTTCAATAATTCACTGAAAGAAATGATGAATGAAGTAAACAGCAACTTTAAAAAGTGCTTCCAGAAGATGAAAATACTGAGTCAGTTACAGGCGGATGTGGTCGGCCTCATCACTGATCTACAGAAGGCTTGTAGCATCAAACCCATCCTCCTGTTAGAGGAAAAATTAAAAGGTCTTCAGAACAAGGGATTGGGTCCACTCTCACACGATGGCACAGAAATTCTCGGTGCTGTAGGAGGAGCTGCACCTGTTTGTGATGGAGCTGCAGAAGTGATCCAGGCCGGTGCAACCCTTGACCAGCGGGTGACAAAGCCTGGCAGCGTCAAAAATGGTGACAGAGGCCGCGCCAGGCTGGACTGTCGTGATGGGAGGCTTGTGGTCCATTCCCTCACTCACCGAGCCGACCATCGACTCTTCTTACAGGTAATTATGAACGATTAGTTCTTTAGTGTCCAACCTTTACACTGTACATAATACTATTTACTCACGGAACTGACAACATCGTAACAGTTACATATAATGTCTCTCATGTCTTGTGCCAGCCTTAGTGCAGTTATCTACTCGATTATCATTAAACTTTAGACATATCTAGTTTCCGCCACATCCTCTCGCTCTCCTCGCCCCAACTCCTAGTACTCCGAGCAGCCTTACTGACAGTTACATCAACAGCTAACATGACCAAACTACTGATCCTTAATGATTTGCCCTCGTAAGTTAAAGTTACTCACAGTTTAAAATCACGAATGTAAATATTTATCAGGTGACTCTACGCCCTCAGAAACTTGCCAGTCATATAGAATGTTCAGTAACACTAATACTGTATTAAGTTCACCTGTTAAATAATATTTCTCTCTTAATATAATATAACACTACAGTAATAGTTATAATGGTACCATGAATTAACGTTTCACAAGTATACGTTCAAGGATTCTTGTCGCGCATATAATCTAATCAAAATACGATAATGTTGAATACCCTCCCCCCCTAAAAAAAATCTAAAACATCTAAAAGCAACAGAGAATTTCGAGTCGGTACCAGTGGTGTGTTTATGACGAGTGGCAGCCTAATTAAGTAGTTCTTAAGAGTTTTACTGAGGAGAGTGAGTTAAGTTGTGAGAAGGTGAGGTGACGAGCAGCCAACACAGAGACACAACGAGCCAGAGCTACGGGGAGAATTAAAAAGTTATGGACGAAACATTATGAAAAAAAAACACAGTGAATGACAAACTTGACGTCGGTGGTATATAAACTCAAGGATTAGGATAAACTGATTAAAAGTTGTACAGTCGTTTAGGTTTATCATAGTTGTAATTATTCACCCGAGGATAATGAATTTAGTGTGAATTAACCGATAATTTTAAACCTGAGGAAACTAGCTGAAAGAAAAACAGTGTTATAATTACGATAAAGTGTGGACATGATCACAATGGATTAATTGATACTGTATCTCTGTATAACTTAAAACGTTTGTAATCTTCTCTTTAACTGTCTTTCAAGCTTCATATATGTTTAGTTTCACCACACGTGGATGCTTATAAATATTGATACCTCGGGACGTAAGTGGTTTGAGTGTGTGACAACAAAGAAGTTCCAAGGAAGTTTTTGTTCACACATCGTCCTTCTCTCCCTCACACACACACACACACACACACACACACACACACACACACACAGCCCCATCCCATCTATTGTTAAAATAATAAACAATTCCTGATTTATGTATTGTACAGCCCTGTAAATGTATTCAATGCATATTATATCATTATGTCTAAATCTAATGTAAGTCTGTATATTTTCAACCACCGGCTGCAACTCTATTAATATACCGTTTATTATTATTATTATTATTATTACACACAGAGTCTTCAGGGTTATAATTACATGAATATAACCAAGGATGCTATCACGCCCTTTCATTGGGGAGTTCAAGACGATGTTAATTAGATAAAAAGGTCGTAAATATTTCTTAAACATATGAAATTGTGATCCCCATTACACATGGCGTTCGATTAACAGTTCTTGTATTTATTCTTCTCATGTAGATGCCGTCAGAGGTGTTCCTTGAGCTGAGTGTTGGTAGTCGGTGTCTGGGTCGTGTGTACATCAAGCTGTGGAGTCACCTGCGTCGTGCACAACAATTCCTGGCACTCTGTCTTGGCTCTATGGGACCTTCACACATCGGTGCCTCCTTCAAAAAGATTTCAGATAAAAACAAAGAGCGAGAAACTATATGGTGTACGGAGTATTATTCCCGCTCTGGAGAGATGGGTTACCGGGCGTTGATGCTGGACATGGAGTGGGAGGGCGAGTACAGCAAGATCCCTGAGGAAGGTCTCGTGGTCGGTTACTCTAACGATATTAATGATTATGGTTTCGGCATCTGTACCAAAGGAAAGCCGGGTGCTAACTTCTCGGGTCCCTTCGGTGAGGTGTCTTTAGGGATGGAGGTGGTACATGCTGCTGTCCGTTATGAGCCCGTCACCGAGGTCACCATCACTGACTGTGGGCTCGTCATCCCTGACATGACACTTTGACACAACCCAACACACCATGACCCGATCACCGCCCATCGGGACTTTCTTCACCATAATGCAATTTACTTTTATTCAACGGGATATCTGTCATAGGTCAACCCTGTGTTTATAAGTGTTCTGCTGTAAGACTTGAAATTGCACTGTAGATATATTACAGAGTTAAACTGAGGGTAGGAGGTTCAGGTGAAGGCAGGATCCGGTATACATGAATGAAAATAAAAGTTGTTCCCCTGAGAGATACAAAAGCTGAGGAGGGTTGGTAAAAACAACATGGTTAACTTTTGAGGTGGTGGGCCGTGGTCGCCAATCCTCAGACACCAGGATGACGTCTTTATTGATTCAACATTGTCTCTCATTAGTCTTATAATTCGGTTTTCTCCATTTGTTCTTATCTTCTGGCTTAAAGAATGAGGGATATAGCGCTTACGTTGCCCAGCCAAACTTTCTATCTGTCTTTCTGTTTTAAAGTTAGCTTCTTTCTGGGAGAGTTTTACTACAGATTTTTAGTTAGTGTTGGTGGTCGTGTTGGTGTTGGAGGGTGGGTCATGTTGGTGGTCGTGTTGGTGGCCACAGTGTTGGTGTTTGGCGGGTGGGTCGTGTTGGTGGCAGCAGTGTTGGTGGCCACAGAGTGTTGGTGGTGGTAGGTGGGTCATGTTGGTGACCGTTGTGTTGGTGGTCGTGTTGCAGGGTGGGTCGTGTTGGTGTCCATAGAGTATTGGTGTAGGGGAGTGGATCCAGCCAGTCATGGCGTCAGTTATGGCTTCCCTCAGTAGTTGGCGAGGCAGTGGTCGTGTCGTATAAACACACAATATAAACTCTGTGTGGCCTTCTCTTGTATATAACATTTCTTTCCGCTTGTAGTGACGATTTGCATGAGTCATTGTATATAATAAAGTTTCTGAGGAGTGTTGAAAAAAATATTATATATAATACCTCAATTCCAATAATGTGTTTGTGGGTTTAATGTGTATATAACATGTGCCATTTACCATCTATCCTTCAACTGTGTATAAATAAACTATACTGTAATATATCTACGCTTCTGTGTGGGTTGAGTGGCGTAGAACTGTTGTACTTAATCGAAGAAGAATTATTTTGTGTACAGATACATTATTTCCATAAAGTTCAGTATTAGGTACACATATGAGACTGTAACCTGGATATAATGAATATATATTTATAAAAGAAAAAATACTAAGTAAAAACTAAATCGCACGCTTCATTAATCATCTTGAAACACAAAGAATAAAACATCCCAAACCCATGTTAATATCTTCCTAATGTAAAATATATCTGTCATTGTAAATTAAAATGAATCTCTGGCTTTAGTTGCCTTTATATAAACCTGGTGTATCTCGGATGTTTCTTAGTATATGGCCTGCTGTGAGGTAGGTGACACTGGTCTCTGTGTTCTTATCCTGATGACTTTCAATTTTCTTTAGTAGCCCAACGACAAAGGAGACAAGTTTGTTATTAATAGTCCCGGCTTCTGTTGAGGAATAACTTTGATGGGTCACCAATATATCACTTCATCCTGGTGATAATAAACTACGAGGTTAAGTATGATGAACTGTGACCTCGTATCCTAACAGCTGCAGTAGGTTCTCGCTCGATGTACAGTACAGTATTATCACTACAAGTATATACAGAATACTTATATACTACCTGAACATTAATTTTATTATTATCATTATTATTATTATTATACGATGCAAAATTACCAGGTTTACAATATTAAGTGTTTACCTTTATTATCCAGCTGACGCCTTTCTCTAATGTAACTACAGTAACTGTGCTTATAAATGATCTAAGGTGCTTTATTTATTGTATACTATCGATGATCGGAAAAAATCCCCAAAAAGGCTCAATTCAGGTCAGGTCAGGTCAGATCAGGTCAGGTCAGCTCAGGTTAGGTTAGGTTAGGTTTGGTAAGATTAGGTTAGATAAATTTAATTTGGGGTAAGTTACATTAGGTTTGGGGCCACCTTCCCCATATTTAACGTTCAACAACTCCTGAATATATAAATGAAACAATATTTACGGGAGGAGGAGACTGCAGTGGGAGCGGGTTAAAAAAGTGAAAGATTACAGGGAAATAGTGTTAGGAATGATGACAAAACTAAATTAGACAGGGAGTTTAAAACTAAACGCGGTAAGGGGAGGACTCAGAACACGATTAACTTAAATGTATACTACGCGAACAGTAGAAGTATGAGAAACAAAATGGATGATATTAGGGCCTTGGTATGTACCGAAAAAATCGATATAATTGCATTCACTGAAACATGGAACAACCTAGACACACGTGAGTTACCAGTCGAATACCAAATTGCGGATTACAAACTGTTCCATACAGATAGGCAGACCAGGAAAGGAGGCGGAGTAGCAATCTATGTTAGGGATAATCTGAAGTGTGAAATAAATAAGGAAATAAAAACTGAGAGGAATACAGAAACAATTTGGAAAGAATTAATCGACGGTAAAGAAAAATCACAGACGTAATACAGTATATAGACCTCCCAATCTTGATAGAGTCAAAGAGCGACTTATCTGGGATGAAATGCACAGGGCTTCCATACACAACAAAGTCTGTTTAGTAGGCGACTTTAACCTTGGCCAAATAGATTGGACTGACCTTACAGGTAACTCAGAGTCAGAGGATTTTCTCGAGACTATCCAGGACTGTTTTCTAAGTCAACATATAACCAAACCCACACGGGGTAATAATATACTCGATTTAGTTCTGTCAAACAGAGAAAACCTCATTAGCAGGGTCGAGGTAGGGAACGAATTTGCAAACAGTGACCACAAAGAAATTAGATTCCAGTTAGATTTTCAGGGCAGACGTAAGGAAAATTCCACTAAAGTACCAGATTTCAGATGGGCGAACTTTGACAGTTTAAAGAGGCAGCTGAGAGAGGGGGTGTTGCGCTTGGCCGTGAACCTGTCAGATGACACCAACCTGATAACGAGATCTGAGATTGCCGAGTTCCACGACAATTTAAATAGTGAGTTACTTAATGCACAAAGGCAGAACATACCATACAAAAAACTCAGATCAGACAACAATGGCCCTAAATGGATAAATAATTATTTAAAGAACATCATGGCCAAAGGAAGGCTATAGGTAGAAGGATAAATCGTGGCGAAATTCACCACCGGGACTATTATAGGGTATTGGCGAGTAGGGTTAAAACCGAGATAAGGAAAGCAAAGAGGAATAATGAGTTAAGGATAGCAAGGGAGGCAAAGACAAACCCCCCAGGATTCTACCAAATGTATCAAACTAAAGCACGAGAAAAGATTGGACCAATACTTTCAGACACAGGCGAGCTCACTGATAACGACAGAGAAATGAGCAATAATTTGAATAAATATTTTTCAACAGTTTTCACCACCGAAAATTTAAACATGATACGCGAGGCACGGACTCTATTCAGAGATAGTGAAGAAAACAAATTAAGTGAGATAGTAGTGACTAGTAACGATGTTCGTAAGCAAATAGACAAACTAAAGCCTAATAAGTCACCTGGTCCCGATGAGATATTTGCCAGAGTATTAAAGGGATGTAAGGACGAGCTTAGTATGCCCTTAGCAAAGTTGTTTAACATGTCCTTAAAAACAGGTGTAGTACCAGAATCCTGGAGGATAGAGAATGTAATACCGATTTTCAAGAAGGGGGATAGATCACTATCCTCTAACTACCGCCCAATCAGTCTAACATCAATAGTAGGCAAATTGCTGGAAGCAATCATCTCAAACTCTATTCGAAATCACCTGGAGAAGCACAGATTGATCAATGATTCCCAGCATGGCTTCACAAGCGGACGTTCTTGCCTAACTAATCTATTAACATTCTTTTCATCAGTTTTCGAATCGGTGGACGAGGGGCACAATTATGATGTGGTATATCTCAACTTTAGCAAAGCCTTCGACAGAGTCCCCCACGAAAGACTAATTAGAAAGGTAGAAGCACATGGCATCAAAGGTGACATCCTTAAATGGATTAGGGCGTGGTTACAGGACAGGAAACCGTGAGTGAGCATTAACGGCACTACGTCCCATTGGAGCAACGTCACAAGTGGAGTTCCCCAAGGCTCAGTACTTGGACCATTATTATTTATTATATACATAAACGACATAGATATCGGCATAGACAGCAACATAAGTAAATTTGCTGATGACACTAAAATAGGACGTGTTATTAAATCTGACGAGGACTCGGCAAAACTACAGGAAGATCTAAACAAATATTTCGAGTGGTCTGAAAAATGGCAGATGAAGTTCAACGTCGACAAATGTAAAGTACTCAGTATAGGAGATGTAAACAGGGAAACCAGATACCAGATGAACAACGATGCCATAGAGAAATCGGACTGCGAGAGAGATTTAGGAGTAATGATAAGTAGGAACCTTAAACCAAGTAAACAATGTGTTTTTGCTAGTAACAAGGCTAATAAAGTACTTGGGTTCATACAAAGGAGTGTTAGTTACAAGACTAGCGAGGTCATCCTAAAACTGTATCTTGCTCTTGTGAGACAACACCTGGACTACGCAGTTCAGTTCTGGTCACCGTATTACAGAATGGATATAGAATCCTTGGAAAGAATTCAGAGGAGAATGACAAGACTAATCCCGGGCATTAGGAACCTTGAGTATAGAGACAGGTTAAAGCATCTTAATTTGCACTCCCTCGAGAGACGTAGAGCGAGGGGCGACCTGATAGAGGTGCATAAGTGGAAGGCAGGGCTAAACAAAGGGGACATTACAAAGGTACTCAAACTATCCAACCAGGAGCGAACTCGTAACAATGGTTTTAAATTAGACAAATATAGATTTAGGCACGAAAAAGGCAAACATTGGTTTGGAAACAGAGTAGTGGATGAATGGAACAAGTTACCAAATATCATCATTAACTCGAATAAGCTGAATAGCTTCAAACATAGGTTGGATGCTTATATGAGCAATAGGGGTTGGGTGTAAACGGGACTGCCCAGTATGGGCCAATAGGCCCGCTGCAGTTTCCGCCATTCTTATGTTCTTTTGTTCTTATTTTAAGATGTTAACATGGTAGTAGTTTTAGGCTGGTATTATCTAAATGTTTTTAAAATAATTTCCTAAATTGTGTCGAAAATTTTTCACATGACACTGGTCAACATTCTACAGCTGATACCTCAATTAGAGGGGTAACTATGACTTCTAAACTCCTCCACTGATGTTATCTATGTACTTTTTTTCCTGTTATTGCCGTACATTAATGGAAGCAATGGCCTCAGTAATCATGCCTTGTTTCATATACAGCAACAATGAACACTTTCAGCATACGTAAAATAATATGTACAGCTGTTCAGTTATCATACTGGTAAGGCATTTACTGCACACATCTACAGTATGATTCTACTCTATGTTCTCAGAAAATGCACCACCGACCTCCCCCACCAATTTCTAGATAGTAATTATTGTTTAATTTGATAATGACTCATAAACATTTATTAAAACATAAACTCTTCCACATAATACTTTAAATATCTAAAATTTTACTTTAGATATTAAGTTTATTGATCAATATATTCATAAATATTTGTTTAACGTTAAAATTATACTACATGGCACCAGGACCTGGCGGTGGGAGGAGAGGACAACACGTGTGTCGTGTGAACTTGGGCTACTCGGCCACACACTAGTTTACGGGTCCTGCCTGTACCTCACACTGTCAACAACGACCTTGGCAACCTCTTTAGCATACGATATTGTGGTGTTGATAACAAGTACGAATTGTACATGCCATGTGAAACGTAAACAGAACATATTCCATGCTCTTGGTCCAGATTCAGTACTAGTGATAGAAAGTGATCTTGATTACACGTAGAAATAGTGTCCGTACATTCGTGGTTCGTGGAGGCATTATCTCTAAGCATATCTACAGTTACTTGGAAAAATTACATCGTGCACACCCAGGATAATTTTAATTGCATCAAGGTAAGTAGGTGAGACGAGTTAAGTTTAAGAAACGCCAAAATTATATCCTTAAATATTGTGAGGAAAGAATACCAGTTGTGTAATGCAGCGCTGCCAGACGAAAGAGTTATTGCCATATACTGTAAATTGTCTTGTGAACTTAATACGCCCATTGAAGATAATTACACGATAAACACCAATTAAAGTAAACTCCCTAAGGAGTTTACACCGAGTTTCATCCCTGACAGGTGCTAATACGAGACCAAAGAGTAAACCTTGTGGGATGACGTGGTTCAACACTATCTTTTATCTTGCATGTGTGTGTGTGTGTGTGTCCGACTATTGATTCAAATGTTGAGTTCAGGGACTAGGAACGCCATTAAGGCTGTGTGATAAACATTACCAGTTACGATATTTTTGCTGAGGACTTAGTTGTTAATTATTGCTCGAATTCTCATACAGTAGTATTAAGCGTTAATATAGGTTGTGTATTGAAGACAGGTGGTGGTGGTGATAACAGACGGGTAGTGACTGGCTGTGCTCCTTATAACACAAATAGTGTTGTATCTTCAACCCCTAATAATGTGGGCTCACTTAAAAGACTAGTACATCAGGGGCGCACCCACAAATTGAGTGGGGGGGTTCCAAATTACTGAGAAGTCTGGCGAGCGTAGCGAGCCCTTTCAGCTTGGGGGGCGCTGTAAGCCCCCCGGAAAAAAATTGAAATCTGACCAATATTTGACGCCATTTGCAATGAATCTTAGGAAATAACCTGAGGTTGAAGCTGGTGTAATTTAGCATCCTAATCTTTGTATATAGACTTATATTACAGGATAATAGAAGTCATACAATTTTGTTTAAATATTTTATTTACACAATTTTAAAATACATGAATTTACTGCACTAAATATAGAGTATATAATATGGTTATTACTGTACTGAATGTGTAACAATCATTAAGCATTTTAATACTTGTATATAATGACTAACTAACATTGAACACTAACAGAGCTCATAAAATTTGCTTAACAGTTTTTGAACACCAGTAAAATACATTGCCTTTATTTTTCTGCAAGTACATTGGCAAATTTCATCTTCCTGGGATTTCTCTGTGCAAATGTGTCAATTACTTGGTTTATATCCCCTGGTATATCTCGGTGCATGTGTAGTAATGTCAGGCCTGTCAGTCTCTCATTCCCCATTTTTGATCTGAGTGTTGTTTTTATTCGTTTCAGTCCACTGAATGATCTTTCTGCAGAGCATGTCGTTACTGGCCGGGTGCACAGGATAATGAGCAGGGTCCTCACGTTGGGGAACATGGAACTTGGTGTCTGGGAGAGGGTGGTGTCTGGCAGTGCTGTATATTAAGTGCATTGAGGTGCATGGGAATGGCAGAGGTGGTGGAAGTTACCGTGGCGTGGGGTGAGGTCAGGTAAGCTGACCCAACCTTCGTGTTACTAAGGTGTCGCCAGGTCAGGTATGGGTTGGCCGCACCATGCAGTACCTGGAGGGGGGGGGTTCCGGGCAACCAGGAAACCCCCCTGGGTGCGCCACTGTACTACATACAGTATGTTCCTCTGTCGTGGTACACCTAAATGGCCTGAGTGTTGGTATTGTCTTAACCAGTGTTGACGTATTTGTTCGCCTGCTGACGGTAGTAAGTAATAACAACAATCATATCAGTTAACTCATGGTCATTCCTTTGTTTGTATGTCACTGGCTATGACTTGAATTACCCATTGACTTTTACATTAGGGTATAGTTGATGAAATTACGGTATGGCATTGCTGTAGAAGACATACTGTAATGAAAAACTGATTCTATCCAATATCTTATATCTGATGTGATGACGGCGTGATCTGTAGTTCTTAGAACACTATACGAGTCAACGACTAAACAAATCCTGTATGAAGGGTGAGCTGTGTGATGCTCTCACTCTGGTACACAAGACCGTAACTTTTACTTTTATCCTCTTCGCCACTGATCGGCTCGTTAGCCGCTTGGGCGGTCTGTCACGTCTCTGTTACGCACTGTTGGCAAGTACTCGGTGGCGTCACAACACTCTCTGGCAGGTTGTTCCAAGAGTTCACAACTCGCACTCCGAAAAAGTTTGCCCTCACAGTTTTCTGGACTTGTGGCTTCTTCAACCTTGAGCTGTGACCACCTTGTGGGGTGGGCGCCCGTCACCTCCAAGTATGGACGCTCGACTGAGTAGTGCCACCCTGAGATGTTTATACACCTCAATTAGGTCACCCCTTGCCCGTGTAATATAAGCTAGGCATTTGCAGGCGCTCTAATCTTTCTGGATAACTGAGGTGCCGTAGGACAGGCACCAGTCTGGTGGCCCTTCTTTGGACATCTTCTATCAACTGACAGTCCCTAGCCTGTCTCGGGGACCAGACAGTACTCCAGGCGAGAACTTTGTTACAATCCTAGTAATTATTGACGGTGTTGAGGGCGGACTGTAGCAGCACGCAGAAGACATGTGAAAAGAAACATTTAAAGCAAATAGTGGAGAAATGTGGTGACGACAATGTACGTAATGAAGGAAATAAAGAGATTGGCGTTACCAATCGAGTTAAATTAAGTTATTAAAACTAAACAGAGCACTGTTATGTATTTTCAACTCACGGTGTCCGTTTTCACAATCGTTCTTTTAGTTCAACAATCTAGTTTCGATATAACTGTAGTTTTGTCTACTCTAAAAGTATCACATACTCCCAGAATGTCTACTGTTAGTTAATAATGACGTAACCTAATGGGAGTAGACTGACTGGGGTGTTAACGTGTTGTTGTGTGTCTCGGTGTCACAGCTGTCCAATATGACTGTCGTAGCAACACTGGCTCCGTGTGCCACAACTCTGCTGGTTAGATTCAACAACAGCTGGTTTGGAATTTTATTTAAAGAACATTCGCTTCTTGAATTTACTTGTAGTTAAGGGATCTGGTGTCGTCACTGCGAAATAAACTTTACATTTAATTAAGAATTAATTACATGCCGCTGGCGAATTGACAGAATCCATCACTGAACTATACATACTGGAAAACTCAGTTAAATTAAGTTTAAACCAGCACACATTCTTAAATTAAAATGTAAACTTTGTTGATTAAAAGAAACTATTTAGTCATCAGCTGAAAGGGATTATAATAAATAACAGGTGGAACAGTACGTGGTGACCTTTACCACGTACACAGGTATGAAATAACTGGTACAAAATGGCTGGGGTACGAAATGACTGATACGAATACTTGTGTACAAGGCATGAAACCATTGATTCACTGTCAGGCCAGCTCAGTGTGGGGGCGGGTCTAGCTAGGGAAGATAAGGGGCGACAGGCTGGCATTTAAGATAACGTAATGAGATCTACTGTAAAGTGGGATAAACTAAACCGTAACAATAACTTAATGAAACACAGAACTCAGGGAAATAATTCCTTATATAAATTGTTACCAGATGTCGCTAACAGCAGATGTTTACGTTGGGATGGAGAAATAATAACAATAATAATAATAATAATAATAATAATAATAATAATAATATTATTATTATTATTATTATTATTATTATTATTATTATTATTATTATTATTATTATTATTATTATTATTATTATTATTATTATTATTATTATTATTGTTATTGTTATTGTTATTGTTATTGTTATTGTTATTGTTGTTATTATTGTTATTATTATTGTTATTGTTATTATTAGTATTATTATTAGTATTATTATTAGTATTAGTATTAGTATTAGTATTAGTATTTTTATTATTTAGAACAATGAATTAGGTTCAAAATAATAATTTGATGTTCACTCTGACCTGATAATTAAAAAAAATAATTATCTTGTATTTCTCCATAAAAACAGTGACATGTATAATATAGTTCTACAAGTCCGTGTATCCAGTGAAAGTTAAACAATAACCGTGATCGCTGAAGCACCTAAAACAAAAACAAACTTTGTGACTACACCTCGATATTGCCTTGTCTAAAACAAACAGGATGCTACTTTTCAGCTCGGCTGTAGTTTCACGTAGTGGTGTGAGTTTTGTCTAAGGCTCAGTGACAAGGCATTGTTGCTCTCGGCGTGAGGGAGATTCAAGGTGTGTTGTGTTGTTTCTGCGGGACTCGCGAGGCTGTCGAGTTTCGTGAGTACATTACCGAAATTTCTTACAGCTTCTTTGGTTTTTGGTCACTACAATCACCTAAAAGACTCAAAATCACACTTCTAACTCCATTTCACAAACTCCGCCAAGATGGTGGCCCCAACACTAGATTATGCATGGTAGATGTTGTCAAATTTCGCTTGTTCCCTGGAAAAGGAGGATTGTATGTTTACATGAGTGAGGTAATAAGAGAGGTGGAGGTTAGCGAGTGAAGGTTTGTTAGTGTGATGGAGAGGGCTGGGGAAGCAATGAGATGACCTGTTGCATGTGTTGGTGCATGACTTAGGAAATGTGTAGTAGTAGTTGAAGAAAGTTAACAGGAAATAAATTTATGTAAGTAAGTAGACAAGGAAGAAAAACTGAATAAGGTGAGGGGTTTCAATATCTGGGAGTGGAAGGAACAGCGACTAACAAAGAACAGATCTTATGAAAGTTAGGAATCCCAGCTTATTTCGCCTGATGATTAAACACCCTAATGTTAACATAACTTCCCATTTACTGTAAAGGTTTTAATCGTCTGGTAAAACAAGCGGGAGTTAGCAGTTTTAATAAGACTCCCCCAAAAAACCCCAAAACAAATGTATTAAGATACGTGTAAACGCCTTGGTTTAGGACGTTCAGGTGACGGACAGGTTGGAGGGAATGATTGAAACCCGCCTTTTGACGCATTCAATATTTATTGATGTGGTCAAAACCTGCAGAGGAGAAGGCGTTCATAATATTACATGGTGATCCATGTGATACATAATTAGTTAGTCTCACAGTTTTATCTTAATTACTATTTATTAAACATACTGACATAACACAAAGTTTATAACTCTATGTATCTTAGCTACGCTTCATTCCGCATTGTTT